TCCCCATCCCAGCTCTGGGCTGCGCCAGCACCAGCCTGGCTCTCGGCGTCAGCGGATGGCATATTGCACAAGCGACAGCACATGGACGTGGCAGAGATAACCAGCTGTAGTGGTCTGACTGATGCAAATTAAGCATTCCAGCAGTGCATTTGACGAAGGAAGTTTTTTGTTTGCATTATGCCACCAATACTATATATAGAAAATTAAATAAAAAAAAAAAGAAAAAAGAAAAAGACTCCATTTGGAAAACATCAAGTTAAGATTTGGGCTTGATAAGCTACAGCTTTACTTTACTTGTGCGTGCATGTATATACGTGATATGTCGTGTCAGTGAAAACGTACAATAATGCTCTTCTGAAAGCCAGAAGTCTAACAGGTACCAAATGGTCTCGGGGGCTAATGCAGAGACACGACTGATGAAATATAAAAGCTATGGGATCCAGTAAGGTCCTGCTTTACATGGTGGAGACCTGGACTCAAATCTTTGTTTCTTTTCAAAGGTGCAAATGGCTTTAAGGCTGCGTGACACCTACACCTTTGACCACGACCCCAAACAGACAAAGGGTATCCTAAAGATAGGTCTTTATCCAAGCGGACAAGAATATGCACATCTTGGCTGTCACCTGGGAATAGCATATCTTGTCCTAAAAAAGGCTTAACGAAACCCCAAGAAGAGACATACCCACTTATCTACTTATATCCAATCCTCCTGCCCCTCCACACCTTCCAACACCACCGGTCACCGACCACAGTGGAGCAAATCTCTTCTCCTGACACGTCATTTCACAACCTCAGGCTTCGTAATCTCAGGGCTCCCGGAGGGCAGGGGTGCTGGTAAGCATCTCGCCATCAAGAAAACACTCACTGCCACAGTGGTTTGGACATGAGTGCCGAGAAGACACTTTTTTGTCCCACCAGCCACCAAAATCACCTCCACGTGCCAGCAGAAGACATTTTATTTCACCACACCACCTTCGGAAGACAAATGCAGCATCAATGTTTCCCTAGCCGGACTGTCAAAACCTTTTATCAATAATTTAAGACTGCCATTGACTAATTGCAAGCCGTGTCCCAGACTCTCATTAATTCCCGATACTGTCGGCTGAACCACGCCAAAATCCTCGCCTGTTACTATTTATTTTACAACCCTCAGCAGCCAGCAGTCCCCAAGCACAGGCAGGCAAGGCGCGAACCCGGTTCGACTCTTTTCAAAGAGTTGAAGAAATACCCCACATCACAAGGAAAGGAGAACCAGAGAGAAGGAAGGCTGCACCAGAGCTTCAACATTTGGGGCAGAAATTAATTAAAGGATAAGCTAATGGAAAGGGCTCCGAAAAAGAGGATGAGAAGGTTCAGAAGTATCGGGTGAGGATGTGCGCGCACATTTCAGTTGAACCCTATTAGCCACTTGACTTTAGTACTTGTGAAAATCAAAGTATGTGAATAAGCTGCCTTCCCATCCGTGAGAATTTGTCAAACACTTGCTGCGTTTTATGTTCCTTTTTAATGAAGCATTTTATAGAACTTAAGCCAGAGTACCACAGAAATACCCAGAACTTCTGATAATATCTTAACATAAATTAAACCCATACTTTTCCTGGAAATTAGTGTGTGGAGTGGGACACAATGAGGTCTGGTAGCGTAGAATTTTCATGAGAGTTGATGAAATACTGTGCAAACTTCTGTAGAGCCCAAGCAGTAAATTCAAATCCCAAGGTGAAAGACTGCCTACCATATCCATCCTGGCTTTTTTTTGTGGCTGAAAACGTCAATTAAATCAAACCACAGCTGGTTGTATTATGTCCATGATTGAAAAAAAGCCACTGGGCTGAAAACGAGAAGGAGCGAAGTCAGAGAAAGGCCCATCCTGCTTTACCATGTAGGTTACCCCCTGCTACACAAGGTGAATTTTTAGTTATTTTAGTTGTTGAAAGACTCCAAAATTCCTGTTCAGAAATAATTTGTTTTACAGCCCCACCTCTCTTCAAACAGGAATTTTTTCTCAGCTATGTTGGCAATCAGCATCCACAGCTCATTAGTTGTTTTACATTTTGTTCTAGATGGGTTTTGTTGCCATTTTAGTATCCCCTGGTGGAAGATACATCTTGCCATCCAAAGAAAGCCCTTACAGGGCTACACTGCATAGCCTGGATGTTGCCAACATGTTGCGAGGAAGCCCAGGTAGGTGAGAAGCACTTTAGTATTTATTACAATCAATTGCGGTTCTGAATAACACAGTATCAAATCAGGATCTGCTGCGTCCTTCGTTAAATAAGAACCCATAAATTAGCCAAATGTCTGAGTTTATTTCCTTTACTTGCTTTAGACTGTAACTTCTTTCAAGTGTTGTCTGAAATGTATACATCCATCAGGATGAAACCAGCGCCTGTTTTCCACAGACCGTGTGCCTAAGAAGGCTAAACTATTTTTCAGTGTTTTTAAGAAGTGCGTGAAACTCTCTTACCCAAAAGGTGACAGTATTAAACACATATCACGAGGGGAAAAAACACCAGAAAATTATAAAGGACAGTTTAAGGAAAACATGCTATTGCCATATTGTTTGTATTGGTAAACAATGTATTGGTGGAGTCCGAGCCATCCACTCCTCCGCTCCAAACCTCACCGAAACACCACCGAAACACCCTGCACCAGTGCTGACATTTGCTTTTTGGAGAAAAAAAATCATGATGGCAACAGTCGAGGTGTTCTAATACCATACAATTTGGTTGCCATCTGGCTCCTGCTCCATGGCACATCACAGCCATCATCTTGTTACAGCAACCCTGAACAGCTTCAAATCCTGCTGGCTGAAAATAGTAAAAGCAAGAATTGCGTTCACCATCCTATTAAAAACCTGCTGCTGGTAGGAATACTTGTCATGCTCTTAGCCGTTAGGATTGCTAAATTACTCCCCTGGTTAAAATAACTGATTTAACAAAACACAGCAGGGACAGTCTCCCATTTAGTTTCTCTGCGCTGGGATTCCTGAACACTGGGAACAAATCAGTGGGCTGTAACGTGTCCCCCTGATACAGGGCCAGGAACTGCTTCGCTATTTCAGCCCAGTGCCAAGACTAGAGATATTAAAGTTAAACCCAAGTTTAGGATTTCCAGTTGGAACAAAGAGCTGGTGATTATAACAGCCCAGATCGATGCAATTTCACAGTAATATCTGGAACATGTAGTATTTTGGGGGAAAAAAACCCCTCACATATTCAATGAAATGAAAATATTTCCAAATAGTGGTGGTTTGGGTTTTTCACATCCTCTTCTTCTCCCTCTCTTTTTAAAAATAGCACGGCATCTCAACTAGGATCAGAAGCAAACTCCAAAAAATTGAAACACTGCTGCTATTCTCATACAACCTTCACAAAAAAAGAGAAAAAAAAAAGAACAAAAAGAAGAAAGAAAATATGTAGTGCTACATGGTTTTTAAAAGTGTGTCTGGAAAACAATTTGATTCTGTTCCTACAATAAGGTTTAATGTTTTGGATGCAATCACTGCAAATTACGAAGCTTTGGCAAGCTACTCTGTTCAAACATATGGAAATTTTGTCTGTCAAACTTTGCTTTCTTCACTTACTGCCTGCTAATGCATTTTTATAACTGCCTCACCAGCCAATATGATTTCATTACAGACTGCGATCCAAAGCGACACAAAACCACTTTCTTCTTCCAGTCGGGGGCTTGTGTATTTGGTAGAAATCCCAACCAGGCTGTAACAGGTCGTGCTTGCGGTGCTGAGCAAAAGCCCAACCTGCCACCCTCCGGCCCCGATCTCCTTACCTGAAGATGATGGGCACTTGCTCAAAAACACCTCAGAGAAGAGAAAAGTTTAATGTACCACCAACTGAACCCTCTCTCCCTACATACAGGGAGAACAAACTAGTCTCATGGCACAGCAACGACCAGAAAAAATCCCCAACGAGCTTTCTCGGCCATTTATTCATCTGCGCAATGACAAATGATGGGGATGAAGCATTAACCTGGCAATCTGCTGCAGATGCAGGACTGTCGCGGTGATCGCTTGAGGATGCAGCCAAAGACCGTGCTCAGATTAAAAGGGGAATGGAAGTTGTAGGGTGTAGGCTGAAACCCCAGAGCCTTGGGGTGAATCTAGCTGGAGTTGCCTGGAAATAAACAAAATACTAAAATGTCAGCCGTGGCTCCTCTTCTCATTGCTAACGTCTTTTTAGTGGAATTTGCCAGGAAGAACCACAAAAATTTCCCCTCTCAAAAGGCCTTTTAGAAGTCAAAGGGCTGCCTGAATACCGGCATTGTGAGCGTCCATAAGAGGGACGCGCTGGGATGGTGGTTCCATACACTGCGCTTGGCTCCTTCCCTGCTGGTACGCTGCAAACTGCGAAGCGGGGGCTGTAATCCTGTGCTTTTGTTCAAAAAAAGAAGAAAAAAATAGCAGCCCACCAAAATTTCCCATTTTTTAGAAACCATCAAAGTGCTAGCCCCGCACTGCTCAGAGGCTGACAGAGGGCTGGTAGGGGAGCAATCAGGGAGAGGAATTTGGGGATCTTTTGCAGGAATATCCCTATGTGATATAGAGGTGGATGTATAGGGTAACGCTCCGGAGCCGGTGGGTGCAGGTTCAGACCTGGGCTGTCCGTAGGCACGTGCAGCCCGTGCCATCGCTATGGACCTGGCTGCTGGGCTCAAGGAGGGCAGCGCCCTCAGCAAGCCGGACACGTGTGGAGGAGGTGGCCATCACCCCGCCCCGGGGCGCAGAGCAACATGCTGTTTTCAGTGTACAATTTGCCGATTTGTACTTGTGTTCCTGAAAAATGAGGCTGCTCAGACTTCAGGCCAATTCATTAATACGATTTCTCTATAATCCATCTGAAACAGAGTTCAAGGCTCCAACACATTAAAG